TTGTAGTGTTTTGGTGTTTATATTTATTACAAAATACTACAATTAAAATTTATAATAATTAATACTTTTTAATAATGAAAAATAATTTTATACGTACATAAAAAAAGAGTACAAATAAAAAGTGTCACTGGATTGACGAACAGCGCGAGAATAAAAAAAATACACGGAGTGTTATCGTACTGCAGTACATCTAAGATAAAACATATAAACATATATAAACGCATTCATTGTGACATGTTATTTAACATCTTTGTTAATCCCTACATTACCCCCTTTCCAGTGAAAACGATAATTTTACGTTAAACATACATAGTTACAAATATCAAATATAAAAATACAAATACAAATATAAAAGTGATACAATTCACAATTTACAAAAACCTTACGGGGAGACGGATAGTTCTTCCTGACTTGGTTTGTTTTGTTTGTATTATTGTTGGTCTTGTAGTTGTATTTCTCTGGTTGTGCTGGTTCGTTGTTATTGATAGATTTGTGTTATTATCTTCATTTTCGTTGAAACATGGCTTCAGTCTGTCTATTGATATGATACATTCTTTTTGCCTAATTAATAATTTAAAGGTTTTTTCGTATCGTTGAACAATTTTGTACGGCCCTTCATATGGTTGTTCTAGCGGTTTCTTGACCCGGTCGACCCGAACGAAAACGTGTGAACAGGATGCTAGATCTTTATATATAAAAACTTTTTTACTTCCGTGGTTTGAAGTTGACACTGGGCGTATGGTTTCCATTGTTTTCTTTAGTGTTTCAGCAAAGGAACAAGGGTCTGTCGCCACTGATGACTGCATAAAAAACTCATTAGGTAATCTAATCGTACTTCCAAATACAATTTCTGCAGGTGTTAAACCTAGATCTTCTTTAATCACTGATCTAAGGCCCATAAGAACTGAGGGGAGTACATCTGTCCAGTGCTCAGTTTCGTAACACTTTATTGCCGTTTTAAGTGATCGGTGGAATCGTTCAACTAAACCATTGGCTGGTGGATGATATGCTGATGTACGTATTCTTCTAAACCCTAAAATTTGCGTTACTGCGGTGAACAGAGTAGACTCAAATTGCCGTCCTTGATCTGTTGTCAATCTCTCCATAACTCCATATCGAGCTATCCAGCCTTCAAATAACGTACGAGCTATGGTTTCAGCCGAAATATCCTGAATTGGAAAAACTTCTGGCCATCTAGAAAATCTGTCTATAGCGGTTAAACAGTAAGTACAACCACGTGACATGACCATAGGACCGATTATATCGATGTGTACATGCGAAAAACGATCACTCGGCACATTAAAAATACCACACGGACTTATAACATGTCGCGTTATTTTTGACTTTTGACACGCTAAACACGCACGAGTCCATTTCGCACAATCACTGTTCATCGACGGCCACACGAAACGACTACTCACTAATTTTATTGTTGACCGTATACCTGGGTGAGCGAGATTATGTAGACAATTGAACACATTGCGGCGAAATTGTTTGGTAAGATACGGTCGTTGTCTACCATTAGAAGTGTCGCAGTAAATATTTGTGTTCGTAGTGGGCATATTTACGAGCTCTAGTTTTATCGATAATTCCGGTTTTGACAATAACGACAATAGTTCTGCGTCTGCTAACTGGTCGTAAGCTAACTTGTCATAATCTAGCGGTGGCGGTGCATTTATAGTTTCTATTCTCGATAACGCATCGGCCACTGTATTCTGTGTACCTGTTACGTGCCGTATTGATGTTGTAAACTGACTAATAAAATCAAGTTGTCGTGCACGTCGAGGTGGTAATTTATCTGAGTGTTGTGTGAATGCGTATACTAACGGCTTATGGTCCGTAATTATTTCAAATTCACGGGCTTCCAGCATATAGCGAAAATGCTTAATGGCTTCATATACCGCAAGAAGTTCACGATCGTATGCACAGTATTTTTTTTGTGTTTGGTCAAGTTTGCGAGAGAAAAAAGCAAGTGGTTGCCAAACGCCGTTTTTAAATTGTTCTATTACTGCGCCTATCGCCATATCTGACGCGTCACATCGTAATTGAATATTCGCGGCCGGATCTAGATACGATAATGTTGTGGCTCGCTTTAAGTCTTCTTTAGTTTTCTCGAACGCTCCCGTTGATTGATCGGTCCATACAATTGGTGTTTTGTCGTTTTTTTTGCTGTTTTTAAGATAATCGTGAAGAATAGCTTGTGTACTTGCTGCGTTTGGGATACAACGGCGGTAAAAATTGCACATAGCCAAAAAACGTCGAAGCTCTTGTACATTATTCGGCCGTGGATATTTGTCTATCGCTTCCAGTTTTTCAGGATTTGGTCTAAGACCGTTACCCGATATGATGTATCCTAAAAATAGTACCTCTTCTTTTCCAAATATACATTTATTCGTATTTATCACAATGCCGTACTCACTGAGTCGTTGTAATACACGTTCGAGGTGACTCAAATGCTCTTGTGTTGAAGACGATGCAATTAAAATATCGTCCAAATACACTTCACAAAAATCTAAGTCTTTTAAAACACCGTGTATGAAACGCTGAAATGTTTGAGCTGCATTTTTAAAACCGTATCCCATCCGAACAAACTCAAATAACCCAAAAGGTGTTGTAATAGCTGTTTTTGGAATATCGGACGGTTCTATTGGTATATGGTTAAAAGCTTTAACCAAATCGATTTTTGAAAAAATACTTTTATTTTGCAATCGCTGTGTGATGTCTTGAATGTGTGGAATGGGGTATCTGTCCGGTAATGTGACTGCGTTTAACCTACGGTAGTCGCCGCACGGTCTCCATTCACCGTTCTTCTTTTTTACTAGTTGTAATGGGCTGGCCCACGGACTATTTGAAGGTCGGCATATGCCCTGTTCTACTAAATAAGCAAATTATTTTTTTGCAATCTCTAGTCGATCCNTTTTTTTGCGATCTCTAGTCGATCCGGAGGAAGGCGTCTTGGTTTAGCGAAGAGTGGTGGTCCTTTAGTGATGATATGATGTGTAACGTTATGTTTACAATCCATTGGGATCATGTTTGTTCTTAATACTTGCAGAAATTTTTTGAGTAACTTAATGTACGCTGAATCGTCTTTAAAAGCGAAGATGCCCGAGGATATCGTCTTTTCAACTTTTCCGGCGATGGCTAAATTGGTATTTTCATCAATTAGGCTTTTACTTCTTAAGTCCACTAATAAGCCGAAGTAGTGGAGAAAGTCAGCACCTATAATTGGTTTACTGACTGCTGCGACAAT